TCCTTGATTAGTTAATGACAACATTGTGGAGGGGCTGACATTTTACAGTAGCCAGGAGTACATTACCACCCATAAAGCCCCTGTTCAGAGGCCATCATCGTAATTTTGAACAGTGTAAAAAAGCCAGTCACTAAGGACTACCTGTATATAACACTGCAAGTAGTCCCTGACTTACAACAATTCATTTAGTGACTGTTCAAAATTACAACGGCATTGAAAAAGGACTCATGACCACGTTTCACACTTAGGTCTGTTGCAGCAGCCTCCCCATGGGCACGTGATTTACATTCGGATGCTTGACAACTGAATTCATACTTACGACCGTTGCTGTGTCCCGGGGTCACATGATCCTCTTTTGCGACCTGACAAGCAAAGTCAATCAGGAAGCCAGATTCACTTAACAACCGGGGGACTAATTTAGCAACTGCATTGATTCACTTAACAACTGTGGGAGGAAAAGACATAAAACGGGGCATAACTCACTTAACAAATTTCTCACTTGGCAGCATAAACTCTGGGCTCCATTGTGGTCGTAAGGCGAGGACTACCTGTACACATTTTTGTCTTGGTTTGTGGTTCTTAACGGGGCTGGTTTGCAGAGACCAAAACGTCTCCATGCCGCTGTCTTCAAACATGTTCCAGAATGTACTGGAATGTTTCTTGGCTCTTCGGCCCGTGAGAAGAGGTGACAAATAGCTAAGATAAAATAAGTTAATTCTTTTCTTTCTGAGGATTTAGAGAAGGGGGAAAAAAAATCCTCTTTGGTCTTGTACTTTTTATAATTAAAAAAAACACGCGCTATAATTTTGTGTTCATGCACTTAATGGATTTATTGCTCTCACGCCTGGTTGAAATAAACTTTCCTGAGGGAAAACTTTGCATTTCCAACTTTGCACTTGATTCTTGCCCGAGGTTTGCATTTTAAAAATTTCCCTAATTTTCCAGGCCACATCTCTGCATCCCAACAACTTTGGAACGCAAAGAGAGGTACAAGATTTTTCCCTTGGTTAGTAGTATAGGATTGAATGGAAACCAAGTTTGTAGAAATAAGAAAAAAGGTTGAGTTTGCTCAGCTTCCTTCTTGAGTGTTCACCGAATCGTGGTTTGAAGAATTCATTCAAAGGACAGCGTTCACAGAACATACAAAGCCACAGCTGGCCAACCCCATTAAGCCTAGACCACTGTTTCTCAACCTGGGCAGCTTGAAGAGGTGTGGACTTCAACTCCCAGAATTCCCCAGCTGCCATAGCTGGGAGTTGAAGCCCTCCCATCTTGAAGTGGCCAAGGTTGAGAAACAGTGCTCTAGTTTTGAAGGCAACAGGCTAGAAACCAGGAGACAAGGAGTTCTAGTGCCACCTTAGACATGAAAGCCGGCTGGGTGACTTTGGGCCAATAACCAGGAGACGGTGAGTTCTAGTCCCGCCTTGGCCATGAAAGCTGGCTGGGTGACTTTGGGCCAATCACCAGGAGACGATGAGATCTAGTCCCGCCTTGTCCATGAAAGCTGGCTGGGTGACTTTGGGCCAATCACCAGGAGACGGTGAGATCTAGTACCGCCTTGGGCATGAAAGTCGATTGGGTGACTGGGCCAATCACCAGGAGACGATGAGATCTAGTCCCGCCTTGGCCATGAAAGCTGGCTGGGTGACTTTGGGCCAATCACCAGGAGACGATGAGATCTAGTCCCGCCTTAACCATGAAAGCTGGCTGGGTGACTTTGGGCCAATCACGAGAAGATGGTGAGATCTAGTCCCGCCTTGGGCATGAAAGTCGATTGGGTGACTGGGCCAATCACCAGGAGACGGTGAGTTCTAGTCCCACCTTAGGCATAAAAGCCAGCTGAGTGAGTTCAGACCGATCATACTCAGCGACTTGGGAGACAAGATAGTTGGTCAATTCCTGTCATAACCAATAGGTCGGGGTGTCAAACTCGCAATGTCATGTGACGTGTCATGACGTATCGCGACTTTTTCCCCATTGCCAGAGCTGGGGTGGGTGCGGCAATTTGACACCCCTACGAGAGGTCAACGCTCAGTTAATTTGAAAAAAAAAAAAAGGTCCTGCACTGTAGGAAGAGAAAAATAAGTGATTCTAACTAATATGTGTGAAAGCAAACATTCTGGATTCACAGGTCACTAACCTTAAAATTGGGTTTCATCAAGTAATGTTGGCATATTTTTCTAGAAAAGAAATAGCGAGAGATCTGGGTTCACCCCAAAAACTTAAAAATGTTTCTCCTCGTCCTAAGAACACCTCCTTCAGTGTTGCTTCGGTGAGAGGCTTCAGATACACAAAAGAGCTGGTTTGTGGAACAAGCGATTAACCTGATCCACACAGTGCAAAGCTGTGGTTTGTTCAGCCGTGGTTTGCTGCAAGAACCCACAGTGGTTGGTTCACCCGATGAAAAACTAAACCGATTACGTTCTCTCTCCGTACAACGGCTGGAGCCAGCCTACGTGAATGAAAAGGAGAAATTCTTTGGTGGGCTGCTGGATGGCGGGATTGCCTTGCTATACAAGCAAGGATTCACTTCTTGTTGTGCACAGATCACAATAACTGGCAGCTTTTAAAGATAATCCACCATCAAAGTCAGTGTTCCTCATTCCTACTTTCCGGAAGTCAGTTTTTTTAGGCTACTCTTCGAAGTAAACTTTTGGAATACGAGTGTGTAAGTATTAAGAGGGCACAGAAGGGAGGGGAGCTGTGGAGAAGATCACACCTTGTTACAAAGGCAAAGCCAAGCTAGACACACACACACACACACAACATGCATCTCTACACAGAACGGAGGCCAGCACCATCTTGCCCATGACTTCAGCCCCCAAAACATCTGGATGCCTCCTGGATTGGTTGAGCAATCTGCAACACTCGAGTGGTCCTCAACGTACGACCCATAGTTGAGCCCCAAATTTCCATTGCTAAGCAACATCGTTGTTAAGTGGAGTGTGCCCCATTTTGCGACCTTTCTTGCCTCAGTTGTTAAGCGAGTCACGGCAGTCGTAAAGTTAGTAACACACAGTTGTTAAGTGAATCTGGCTTCCCCATTTCACTTGGCTTTTCGGCAGGTCGCAAAAGGGGATCACCGACCCCCGGGACGCCGCAACCCATCATAAATATGAGTCAGTTGCCAAACGTCTGGATTCTGATCATATGACCACGGGGATGCTGCAATGGTCATAACGGTGAAAAATGGTCCTGTCACTTTTAGTGCCGTTGTAACTTCAAACAGTCACTAAACGAATGGTTGTAAATCGAGGAGTAAATAGTATTTGTTTAAATTATATACACACACAGGATCACCTCCGGGTTTAAAAAATGAGAATTCTGCAAGAAAGCACCAATTCAGCAGCCTATGTAAGTTATTATTTATTACGTAGCTGATTGACAGCCTAGGTTCTCTCAATGCCCAAGAAAAAGAAAGGGAATGTCTCCACTTTTCTCTCCACAACAACAACAACCTTGTGAGGTAGGCTTGAGTTGAGGCTTTCCCCCGTCCCAAAAGCACAACTGATCAATTCAGAAAGGTTTTTTTAATTTTTGTAATATCTCAATACACATTTTTGGCTCATAAAATATCAAATATATACTCAAAATACATTTTTTTAACCCTTGGACATCCTGTTAGGTCATAAATATAATACTCAATCTAAGACCAGTGTGTGCAGGTAGTCCTCATTTTACCATCACAATAAAGACCAGAATTAAGCAAGTTTGTGATTTTTTTTCTTTGAAAACTTTTCATTTCTCATCCAAGAAGCTTCTTCAGTTATTCATGTAGAATTGAAGAAGCTTCTTGGATGAGAAGGAAAAGCTTTTCAAAGGAAATAACAAGAAAGTCCAGTTGCCTTTTGGAAAAGCACCTGGATGGTTTTGAATCTCCATAGACATTTACAACCTATGGACTTCAACTTCCAGAATTCTTGAGCCAAGTGGCTCAGGAATTCTGGGAGTTGAAGTCCACAGGTAACACAGGAGTCATAGTTGGGAAAAGAACTTTGGACATAATATAGAATTAGAAAACTGGCAAAAGGTATGGGAAAGAAATGCCAAATTAACGAAAGCAGTGGCATGTATGTAGAAAACTTATATAAAATGTTTTACAGATGGCATTTAACACCAGTGAGATTAGCAAAAATGTTTAAAAATACTTCACACAAGTGTTGGGAATGCAAACAAAAACCAGATACTTATTACCATATCTGGTGGACATGCCCTAAAGCTAAAAGATGTTGGTCCAAAATACATTTATGGTTGGAGAAAATGACTAAAAAACAAATAGACTTTAAGCCAGAATTATTTTTATTAGGAACAATAGGAGCAAATTATGATAAAGACTGTATGTATTTAATTTTACATATAGTAACTGCAGCAAGAATTGTATTTGCCCAACATTGGAAAAATGAAAATTTACTAATTGAAGAAGAATTAATTAAGAAACTTTAAGCGTGTGCAGAAATGGATAGATAGACTTTAAAGATAAAAGAGAAAGAAGACTCAGTGTATTTTAGAACATGGGATAACTTTTATCAATGGCTAGAAAAACGAGCTAGAGAGAAAGGAATGCGATATGTAACACTGAATATATACTAGTAAGAAGAAGACTCTAGAGCAATTAATTAACATATTGTTTATGATAATTAGTTACTACGTGCATTCGGGTCTTTTCCTGTGTAAGACCAGAATACACCAAGACGTGCGTGCGTGCGTGCGTGTGTGTGTGTGTAAAGAAAGGCCAGCTGCCTTTTGGAAAAGCACCTTAGGGACAACCATGAATCCCCATAGACATTTACAACCTATGGACTTCAACTCCCAGAATTCTTGAGCCAGGTGTAGCAGGAATTCTGGGAGTTGAAGTCCACAGGTGGTACAGGAGCCATAGTTGCCACCCCTGATCTGTACAGCTTTCTGTCTTTCTTGCTCCCATCTTCCCAGGGAATGAAACCCTGCTAAATTTCTTTCACCCCAGGATTTCCAGGAAGTGCACATGGAAGCCATGATCCTTAAGCTCTCTTCTCTGAATTTGCTCCACCTTTGCTGTAGTTCTCCAGAATTGCCAGATTCTGCAGTTCTCCCATCATACATCTTATGGAATGGTCTAAGTTGACAGTATACTTCAACAATTTCTTCCCTTCTTGTACGGTGAAGGGAAAATCATCGGACAAGAATCTCTCAAAAAGTTTTGGGTCACCATCCAAGGCCATGATGTTCTGTAGTTCCTTGTGCTTGGAGTAAAGCTCAGAACAGGTCTCCATGAAGACATCCCACATCAACTTCTTCTCATAATCACTGGGTGGTTGATACTGCAATTTGTCTTTCATGCATTGGAGGATCCAACTCAAGCGACAAGGCCATTGGTCGGCCAACACCACCCAACCGGCCACTTTCCGTGGACAGACGTTCTTCAGCAGGCTCTGTTGAGTCATCAACCTGATTGTAATGGGGATGGTATTGATGATCCTTCTCATCTGGATAATGCTATCTGGGACATAATGGTAGAGACAATCCTGTTCATTTTGCAAGCAGTGAAAAGCTTCCTGGATGTACTGGGATGCCAGTGCATCGATCCGGTGTTGGTTGTCTTTAACCGCCGCTTTCATGTCCATCGGTGCTTCATCATGTCCCAAGTCCATCTTACTTCTGCTGATGCCATTCGTGAGATCTTTCAAAATCTGGAAGGTCTCCAGCAAACAACGTTTCTTGGATTTGATGG